TATATCAAACATATAAAACAAATTTACAAAATACTTTGCTCAACATATTAACCTTTGACAGCCCTAAAAATAAATTTTGTTAAATCTTTTTCATGTCAACTCATTTGTGGCCTACTAGGGGTCTTTGGACCCCAACTTGAAAAACCCAATAATTTGAATTTTTGCTCTCTTCTCCAGATCCATGTCGTAATGGGGGTACGTGTGTTGATAAAGTGGGCCGGTTCTTGTGCCAGTGCAGAGCTGGTTTCTATGGTGAGCGCTGTGAGGAGGAAGTGGACGAGTGCGCTAGCAATCCCTGCTGGAATGGAGGTCGCTGCACTGATTACGTGAACAGCTACACATGCCAGTGCCCGCCTGGCTATGACGGCATCAACTGTGAACGTGATATCCCAGATTGCACTGAGACGTACGATTTCCATATAAATGATCCAGGTATTCTTTTATTTTACTGTATCATATATATGCGTATTCATTTTCTCTCTCTCTTTTACTCCATAGCTCTTGTCTCAACAATGGAACGTGTGTGGATGGAATTAACCGTTTCACCTGCCGCTGTCGGCATGGCTTTTCGGGTCAGTTCTGCCAGTATGAACTGAACGAGTGTGACTCTCATCCCTGTAAAAATGGTGGCACCTGCATAGACGGCCTGGGGACTTTCCATTGCACCTGCCCACTGATGTATAATGGAAAAACCTGCGAGGTAAAAACTGTCCATTCAGTTTTAGATTGCAAACCCACACAGTCTGATGTTGCTCAATGACTAGAGGTTGATTTAAGTCTACATTTTGGACTGTCTGCTAATTAACTGCCATTAAACATGAAATATTCTTCATCTCAGTAAATACATACTAGACACTCAGTTGGAATAATAAAATGATTCTTGTCCTGTGTTGAAATTTGGTTGTCAGTAGGTGAATGTTCAGAGATTAAAGTTTAGTTCATTTCTCTGACTGTTTCATTCTGCAGTCAATGGTGAACGTGTGCAGTCATATAAAGTGTCTGAATGGAGGCACATGCATCCAGAAGGAGATGGATTGGAGATGCAGCTGTCAGCATGGCTGGACAGGCCTGTACTGTGACATCCCGAATATGTCCTGTCAGACTGTTGCCAAAAACAAGGGTGAGAGATTAGACAGAGTGACTAATTTCACTGTAACTGTTTTGAAATGCAGCAAAATGTAATGGAGATTAAGCTGTAGGTTTGGTTGAATTCTTAATGTAACTTCTGATTTGCTCTAGGTGTGGCGGTGGACATGGTGTGTAAGCACGCAGGGCGGTGTATCGACAAAGACAACACACACCAGTGTATGTGTCAGAGAGGTTATATGGGCAGTTACTGTGAGGACAAGGTGAATGAATGTCTTTCCAACCCCTGTAGAAATGGAGGGACCTGTCTGGACTACCAGAGTGGATATGACTGCAAGGTAAACCAATCTCACTTACTAACATAGATATACACTACTATTCAAAAGTTTGGGGTAAATACTAGGGCTGTGTATCACCAGCAAAGTCACGATTGGATGCGTATCATGATACAGACTGGCCACGATACGATATGTATCACGATACAGGACTGCACTGAATTTCACCTCAGCAGAATTTAGTAAAACAGCTGTTAACAGTTATTAAACACTGCATACTATAGTGCCATTTCTAACTATTGTCAGAGCAGGCAGGTGACCTCTGCATTATGAAGGGCCTCCATAACTGTACTACAGACGCTCAGTCACTCACACAGATCACGTTACGGCCGCACTCAGACATTCAGGAACAAACTTTTTAGCGCTGCCCCTCAATTTTATCAACTAAATAGCTTAATCGCTGAAGAGCTACATTATCTTTCTCAACAAGGAGATGGTAACATCATTGTTTCTAAAGGAATTAAAGCCTCTGTTAATAGAGAAACACGGCTTCTCTCTCTCTCTCTCATAAATGAACACTTGATGAATTACACTTTTCTGAGAATAGAATATTGAAGTGGAGATCGCTAAACTGCAAGCTTACCGGTGTCATCAGAAAGAAAGCGCGTTTATCCACAGTAGAGAGAGAGCGCGTGCACATGGTTGCCAAGTTGACAAATAAGTAGCACACTTTGCAGATATTTCCGTATTGCGCAAGTTGGAAGCTCTGTTTTGGGGATTACGTCTCTTTATATCAGGCAACCCAGTTGTGTTCCTCTGCGGACAGATTAAACCTTGTTGTAGCCTATATATTATGCTCTATTCATTATTTTTTAGTGTACTCGTTCTAATAAATTTATATTGTAATGTAGGCTACTCATTCTAATATATTAAAACGTCTTATTTACATTGCTGGTAAGTTATCATTGCACAAATTAACATACTCTCTACGTTTAAAAAATAAAAATGAGAAGAGACTGCTGCACACGTGCCACAATATTGATACAGGGCCAGCTGTATCGGTATCGTCAAATCTCTGTGACGATACATCGTCGTATCGTTGTATCGAATACAGCACTAGTAAATAGAGTGACATTATAAAGACATGTATCTTTTATGTTACAATTTCTTTTAAATGTCTATTCAAAGAATCTTGGAAAAAAAATCACGGTTTCCACAAAAATATTAAGCAGCATAACTGTTTTCAACATTAATAACATTATAAATAAGAAATGTTTCTTGAGCACCAAATCACCATATTATAATGATTTCTGAAGGATCATGTGACACTGAAGACTTGGATGATGTAATGGACGATGAAAAATTGAGCGGTGCCATCACAGGAATAAATTACATTAAACTTTTAAACAGTAGTATATATCAAAATAATATACAATAGAGAAATTTATTTATCTTTTATTATCTAAACCTCTCACTTTCTCTATTAGTGTAAAGCAGGTTTTCAGGGCGTGAACTGTGAATATGATGTTGATGAGTGCCAGTCGAATCCCTGTCGCAATGGAGGTACCTGTATTGATTTGATCAACCGCTTCTCCTGTGCATGTCCTCCTGGCACCAAAGGTATGACTGATTCTTAATGCAGTATGTTTAATGTTCAGATGTTACACTGATGTGTAAATGTCCCTTTACCACATCTTCTCTGTTGTGCAGGTTTGCAGTGTGAGGTGGACGTGAATGAATGTGCCCCAGAGTTCGGCGCACGCTGTAAGAATGGCGGCCAGTGTGTGGATGGTGTGGGGCGGTACACTTGCTCCTGCCCTCCTGGTTTCACTGGAGAGCATTGTGAGGGAGATGTGAACGAGTGTCTTTCTGGACCTTGCCATCCAGCCGGCACCATTGACTGTGTGCCGCTCACCAATAACTATCAGTGCCGCTGTCGTCTCGGTTATACTGGTGAGGTCTTATTTTAGAATCAGAGATTATCATACTAGCTATTTTAAAGTGGTTCAAATGAACTATTTTCTTTCTTACTTCTGTGCTCTCCGTCCCCCTGTAGGGCAACATTGTGAGTTAATGGTGGATCTGTGCCAGTCCAAGCCATGCCACAACAACGGCAGATGTGCCATGAACACGAGTTCATTACATGGATACACCTGTACCTGCCAACCTGTAAGTGCAGAGTTAGTAGTTATATGTGTGTATACAACCATTCAAAAGTTTTTTTTTTTTAAAGCTTAAAATTAACATTAAACAAAGTTATTTTAATATTTTTTAAATGTAATTTATTCTTGTGAATGCAAAGCAGAATTTTCAGCAATTTTCAGTGTCACAATACCCTTCAGAAATCATTCTAATATGCTGATTTGATGTTCAAGAAACATTTCTTATCACTGTTGAAAACAGTTACGCTGCTTAATTTTAAGGATTCTTTGATAAATAGAAAACAAAAAACAGCATTTATTTTTGAAATAAAATCTTACTGACCCCTAAACTTTTGAATGCTAGTATGTATGTGTGCATGCGCAAGCAATTACATTTTTGCTGTACTGTGTAGCATTCCCTATTTTGGTAAATACATAAAGCCTTTATTGAATATTCACTAACTGCTCTCCGAGAGGAGGAGGGTATTTTAATGACTAATATGTCTCTTGCTGTGCTTTCCGACATTTCTTTTACAACCTTTAATGGCTGCATTAGCTTTGCTTTGAGTGAAAATTTTCCTTTTCTCAAGGCTGCTTGTTTCTCTCCTTATTCTCATGCTTGCACTAAAGACTGAAGCTGCATAAATCAGGTATGAAGTGAAAGTCTGATTCTTCCTCTTAACTCGTCTTTTACTCTTCTTTCACTCACTGCTGCTGTCTTACTAGCCCCCAGTCATTTCATTGTAAGGTAGCACCATGATTTGCTTTATTTTTGGGGTCTAACAGCCTCTGTGTGGCTCTTTCAGGGTTACACTGGCTTCAACTGTGGTGATTTTGAGATCTTCTCCTGTGCCAGTTTGCGCTGTCCAAACGGTGGACAGTGCGTGGAGATAAAGGGTCGCCCGCAGTGCCGCTGCCCAAAGGGTTTTACCGGACCGCACTGCGAGAGCATCACAAACCGCTGCATGTGTCAAAATGGTGGCAGATGTATGCCAGATGATTCTAACAAGTTCAGCTGCCAGTGTCCACCCGGCTTCAGTGGGCCGACCTGTCAAACGTATAAACCTTCCTGCCCATATTTGGAGTGCGAACAGCGGGCAGGAGACAAAGTGTGTGACCCACAATGTAGGACCCCAGAATGTGAGTGGGATGGAGGCGACTGTACGCTGCACTGGGACAAGCCCTGGAAGAACTGCACAGCCTCCGTACCCTGCTGGGAGTTATTCCATAATGGCCGCTGTGACCCAGAGTGCGACAATGCAGGCTGCCTCTTTGACAGCTTTGAATGCCAGAAAGGTTCATCGACGGGCCCGAGCACTTGCAAGTATGTGTCCCAGTGTATCTCTCTCATTCTAGAGGATTACTGCTCTTCTTTGAGAAACTTGCAAAGATAATGCTTGAAAACATTTAGATGTAGATGTTACCGTTTTTACTGTATTTTTGATCAAATAATTTCAGTCTTGGTGAACATAGACTTTTGTCAAAAACAAAAATAAATCATACAGGCCCCAAATATATATATTTACATAATATTTCCATTTTATATATAATAATACATATTTATTAACCTAATTTCTCCTTAGATATGACAGATACTGTGCAGATCATTACGCCAATGGTCATTGTAACCAGGGCTGCAACACAGAAGCATGTGGCTGGGATGGTCTGGACTGTGCCACAGATACTCCTCCCAAGCTGGCTGATGGTACACTGGTGATTGTGGTGCTGCTGCAGCCCGAGGAGCTTTTGGGTGACCTTAAGGGTTTCCTGCGCTCTTTGGGGACACTGCTGCACACCAACCTGAGACTTAAGCTGGATGAGCATAAGAGACCTATGGTGTACCCATACTATGGAAATGAGGAAGACAAAATTCAAAACAATATTGCCACTATGAAGCAACGTGGAAAACGAGAGCTGGAGAGGGAGGTTATTGGGTATGTTCCTCACCCAGAAATGAACATTTTGTTGTTTACCTTCATGTTGTTGTGCTTGTATAAATTAACATGGTTTTGGATGTCTCCTTGGTTTAGATCAAAGGTTCACCTGGAGATTGACAATCGACAGTGTTCTCAGCACTCGGACGAATGCATCTCCAGTGCAGACCAGGCTGCAGCCTTCATAGCTGCCGAGTACCTGAAATCAGAGCTGCCGTACCCCGTCTACTCTGTGGGCAGTAAGTGAACTAGTAAAACAGGGTCCTAGCAAAAAGGAATTGTGGTTTTCACTGTGTTGTTCTCTCTTTATAAACTTTGTTAACCATCCTCTTCCACCTCAGGCGATAAAGATTCAGTACCCCCCATGCCTCCTCTCCTGTACCTGGTTGCTGTGGCTGCAGCTATCATCATGCTGATTTTGTTGCTGGGTGTGTTGGCTGCCAAGCGTAAACGCAAGCATGGGACTTTATGGCTTCCTGATGGCTTTCTGGCAAAGAAAGACAGCAAGCGGAGGGAGCCAGTGGGACAGGATGATTTTGGCATGAAGTAAGTGTGCGCCTGAACTCTACAATGATCTCAAGATATTTGCTGCCTTCATGTTGCCATGGGAAGTTCCTGATTAATAAGTAGGAATAATGTGACAGTGTGCTTTCAACTGATATTGTATATATTATGTATATTATACATTTAACACATTATACACATCTATTATTATTTAAAATGTGTGAGTGGGCCATTTCCTATCTCTTTTGTTTTTTTAGCACTTATGTGATGAAATGAATATATGATGCTTTAAAAGCAACAACAGCCTGAATCTTTTTTACTTGCTTCTGTAAATCTGTTGATTTCAGGTGGCATCTTAAGTCAACCCTTTTTTCTCTATCCTCCACTTTCTTTCAGGAGCATGCAGAAACCACAGGATGGAGGGCTGATGGATGGCAGTTCTACCCATCATTGGTCAGAGGAGGATCATCTATCTAAAAAACCAAGGGTAAGAGACGGTACCTCCACAGCCCTGAAGATGACAGTAACAGATCCCTTTGTTTATGATCAATCTGAATGGACCCCTCCAACCTCACAGATGGAGGATAAGCCATTGCTTCCTGTTGGAGTGGATGGAGGAGTGGACAGGAGAGAGTGGACCCTGCAGCATCACAAAGCTGCGGACATCACACTCACTCCCCCTCAGGCGGACATAGACATGGACAGCCTGGATGTCAATGTTAAAGGACCAGGTTAACAGACTGAGATTCTTTCTTACTCACAATCTGAGTAGATGAGGAAAGAAGGTTTTCACTCTCTTGTTTTCCTTTTAAAAAGTTTGACTTACTCCGTATTCTCCTTCATGCTCCTAGATGGTTTCACTCCTCTCATGCTGGCATCTCTACGAAGTGGCAGCAGCCCCGATTGTGGCAGCATGCTGGGAGATGAGGAGGAGGAAAGTGGCGCTGACGAGCCTGGCACAAACGTCATAACTGACTTAATTGGCCAGGGTGCATCGCTCAATGCCCAGACAGATCGCACCGGGGAGTCTGCCCTTCACCTCGCTGCACGTTACGCCCGAGCTGATGCCGCCAAGAGACTGCTGGATGCTGGTGCTGATGCCAATGCTCATGATAACATGGGCCGCACCCCTCTACATGCGGCCGTGGCGGCAGATGCCCAAGGAGTCTTTCAGGTGAGGGAATGTGCTAAGGCTAACTTCATATGCCTGCTAAGGCTAACTTCATCATAAATTACAGGTTTCCCAGAGTCATGGAAATTATCAATGAAATTTAAACTTGTGACATCCATGCCTTGAAAACACAAGGAAATGATTAAATAAGTCATGCAAATATCTATAGTGACTAACATACAGTTGAGCTATACAACAGCTCTAAAATATTAAAAGTATATATATATATTTAAAAAAAAAATAATAATAATAATAATTACCTAGAAAGTGCTCTTTAATAGTGATCTTTATGCTCTTTAATAGTACATCTTTATACAAATATTTTTCTTATTTTTAGATATAATAAAAAAAAACTAAGACAGTATTTATTTGAACATTATTTATAACAGTAATTATATACTTATTTATTTATATATTTGGGGGAAAATAAATTTGTGATCAGTCTACTTTCACTGTGGGAATTATATTTTTCAGTATTTTTCACTTTTACATTAAAATGTGTATATCATAATATATTGTTATCCACCAATTAAAAAAATATATATTGTCATGTAATTGTATTTGTTTCGTAAATAGTTTTTTAGCTGATCTGGGTCCTGTTTTGTTAGTTTTTGATTGGAACTTCTGGTTATTTCCTGAATATCTCTTCTGTGGGCAGTTCTCATGCACTGTGGAAAAATGTTCATGTATTTATATATACACACAGACAACTGTAGTTTGCAGATAGTATATTTTTTATTTCTTTCTCTATTCAGGGTTTGTGAAAATTTTTTGTGTGAGTTTTTGTGTGCACATACCAATTATTATTGTGTTTTTGAACACCAGATTCTCATCCGTAACCGTGCCACGGATCTTGATGCCCGTATGAATGACGGCACCACACCACTCATCCTGGCAGCCAGACTGGCAGTGGAGGGCATGGTGGAGGAACTGGTGCACTGCCATGCAGATGTCAATGCTGTGGATGACCATGGTAAGATGAAAACCTGTATGAACATACATCATAGTAAAGAACTTTGTTGATAAATGGAAAGAAATTAATTCTAGACATAAAATGGTTTAATCTCATCGCTCTCATCTTATCCTCAGGCAAGTCAGCTTTGCACTGGGCCGCTGCTGTTAATAATGTAGACGCCACTTTAGTGCTACTCAAGAATGGAGCCAATCGAGACATGCAGGACAACAAGGTACTCGTTCATGTCTATTTGTTTATGTGCATGTTTAATCACTTTTCGAGTGCACAGATGTTTTGTGTGTCAGCCAAACACTTCAGTTTTGTTTGTTCTGTGATGTAGGAGGAGACCCCCTTGTTCCTGGCTGCCAGGGAGGGCAGCTTTGAAGCGGCCCAAGTTCTCCTAGATCATTATTCAAATCGTGATATCACCGACCACCTAGACCGCCTGCCTCGTGATACTGCGCAAGAACGAATGCATCACGACATTGTGCGTCTGCTGGACCAGTACAACCTGGTGCACAGCCCACATTCTGGGCCTAACCACGTGGGCAACGGCGGGGGACACTCCTCCATGGTCTGTGGGACAAATGGCACAGGATTCATGATCGGCATGCGTCCAGGACCACAGGGCAAAAAGAATCGCAGAGCAGGAGGAAAAGCAAACACTGTTGGAGCTGGGACAGCCAAAGATCTAAAAGAAATGAAGGCGAAGAGGCGGAAGAAGCCGGCCGGAGGAGAGGGACCGAATGTTGTGGCGGTGGCAGGAGCCAGCGGAAATATCACCAAAGCAGCTGGCGGCCTCTCAGAGAGCTCGGTCACCATGTCACCTGTGGATTCCCTGGAGTCTCCACACTCGTACGCCGGAGAGGCAGTGGCCACCACCAGCACGGCGAATTCTCCCCCTTTGCTCAGCACCCCATCCGTGAGGCCCATGCTGCCTCCTGTGAGTCACATGTTGGGCCAGCAGCAAAGCTGGGTGGGTTTGGCCAAACACAGCTTCAATGGCCACATGTTTGGCCTCATGCCACCCCACCAGATGAGCACGGGCCACACCAGCATGCAGCAGCACCACAGCCCGGGCATGCTCACCCCGATGAACGTCACCATGAGCCGTGAACAGCTGCCACCCATTGTCACCTTCCAAATGATGGCGGCAGGCAACGGGCAGAGCCTCCTCAAGCAGGCGCAACAGGGGCAGATGCAGGCACAGGGGCAAAATCAGGCACAAAGTCAGCACCTGCACTGTAACCAGAGTATGATGTACCCCATGCCTGATGTGGGAATGCAGCACGGCCTGTCACATACCCTTCCGCACCCCCACGGTCACAACCACGCACTCCCTCACGGGCTGCCTGAGAGCCAAGCACAACAAGTAGCTTCCTATCTGCCACGCCAGAGCCCCGTGGATAAATATCCAACGCCACCTTCCCAGCACAGCTACGCCACCGCTGGCTCTGAGGGAACCACCCCCGGTCATCCTGCACACAATCCCAGCGAACACCCCTACCTCACTCCTTCGCCCGAATCACCTGACCCCTGGTCCTCTTCGTCGCCCCACTCCAACTCAGACTGGTCCGATGTCACAACAAGTCCCACCCCTCTAGGAAACCCCCACACACTGCCTCCTTCCTGCCACACACACATTCCCGAACAAGCCCAGCTGCAGCCCCCGTCACAGGCTGCGCAGCCGACGCAGTCGCAGCAGTCACAGCGCAGCAGTGTGTATGCGTAGGACCTTCGGGAGTTTAATTGCACGGCTGCTTTGTTTGACTCTCTCTTCAGCTGCCAGAGGAGTGGCCATTTATCCTTTCTCCATTCTTCTCCAGTCTTTATTACGCTCTGCATGTTGACTTTGAAGTTTGCGTATTGTAAATTCCCATTAGCCTGGATATTTCATCGCACAGAAGCCCCGGTCTAAACAGAAAAGAGAAACGGCTTTAACAACTCGGGAATCCTGTTAACGGCCGTGTACGATCTAGGGCACTGTTACCAATGGACAATCACAGTGCCAAACTAAGGAGTCTCAACTGCGGTTACCGTCCCCAATTTGGGGAAATTTATTTCAAGATTTAGTCAAACATTTTACAATTTGAAGGAAATTTTCTCATTTAATCTGCCGTCTTTTTTTGATCATTTTTGTTGATGTTGAAAACCAGATATGCTTAGTTGGTACCAACATTAAAGGGATAGTTCACACAACACTCTTCTGTTGTTCCAAACCTGAATGACTTACTTTCTTCTGTGGAACGCAAAAGGAGATATTTTTAAAAATGTCTTTGTTTTTTCCTTTTTATGTCCATACAACGAAGTCAAATGGTTTAAGGTTATTTTGAACCCCACTGACTTTCATTGTATGAAGAAAAACATTCTTTAAATGATCTTCTTTTGTGCTCCACAGAAGAAAGTCATACAGGTTTGAAAGTACATCAGAGTTTATTGGTGAGCTATGCTTTTAACTGATAATTTAATCTTTTTATATAATGGGTCAGCTTTCATGTGTTCTAATTTTTTTAGATCAACCTGCATTTTTTTTTTTGTAGTGAAATGTAATGAAAACATTTTGTAATGAAATGCTTCTTAAATGAATTGGTGGTACTTTTTTGCGATTGGTAACATGAATGTGCTACACATACATCTCATTCATTCATGTGTAGTTAGTTCAGAGCTAAACTGTGGTGTAAATAGTTAAATGTTAAATTTTTATGTTATTTCCTTGTTGTCTGTTACGGTTTATCCTTTGCCTTGCCAATGATTAAGAGAGGTAGAAGGAGGTGTGTAAAAACGAATGGGTTCCACTTTGTTTCTTTTGAAATGGTATGCAGTATTCAGTGGCCGCACAAACATGACAGAGGTTTGAAGAGGAATTCCAGCTTCCATCATCAAGCCGCGTGAGCCTTTCGGAAAACTAAACGTTTATACATAATATTATCAGTGCCTTTTACAACATCTTTGTAACCATTGTTACTATTGTATTTGTTTTGTTCTGCCTTTTTTGTGTTACTGTATATTGATATTCTGAGCAGTTTAACTTGTTCTGAAGTCGTATCTTTTATTTACATGAGTTTTAAATACATGTCATGTATTTCCTTCATCCTAAATACAATCAGCCTGTCTGTGCAACCGTATGAATCACTTGGTAATTTAGAAATAATACTTTATACAATCTAAATGTGCTGTTTCACTTTTTCTGTTTTGTGTTTTTGAGCAAAGCTTTATAAAACTGATTAGTACAATCACATTTTTTAAATGTGTTTTGCACAATAAAGCCCCTGGGTCCCTGAAACACCAAATAAACACTCATAATAGTATTTAGAGATGCATGCATACATTAGTCAGAGTGGTGATGAAATACTGTCAAAGGTCTTATGAAGTTCCGGTATGCTGTATTTGTGCAGGTGGGTGGATCAGTGATATTGTGTGAGCTCAAGGACAATATTAAGAGAGTCTGCTTATGCAAATAGAAACCTTTATGTACTATAGGCTCCATATGGCATGTTCTTTTTGGAAACATTTGATATCCTGTAGCACTTAAGGGCCCTTCAACAGTATGATATTTAGTGTATTGAAATCTGAGGAATTCAATGGCTGTTAGTCCACCAAATAAAGATCAAAGCAAAGGTTTTGGAACATTGTATCTTCACCCAAATGTTATGCAAGGCTTTTTTTATATGTGCTGTGTATAATTTTATGTTTTGGGTTTTTTATGCCATATTGTACTTTCTTTTCCTGTTCACCAAATATATGCAATACAGTATGCTAGAATGAAGTAAATGTTTCGTCTTAGTATTTTATAGATTACGATTTGTGATTTAAAAAAAAAACTGTGTATTGGAAATAATCCAAGACAGTTGATGATTAAAATAGAGATGAAACACAAATAAAGGAAAACCTTTACAAATTGATCTGGCTAAATGAATGAGTCCCTATCTATCTATCTATCTATCTATCTATCTATCCATCTATCCATCTATCCATCTGTCTATATCTTAATTGTTATATATTTATTTATTAGGTTGATTGATATTAGTGTTACAATTGCCCACTACTTGCAAAAGGAAAGCGTGCAAAGGGCATTTTATAACAAAAGATCAAAAACGAAGACTAATAAATGCAATGCAAAGCAGGTGAATGCGCGCTTCTCAATCAAGGTTCAGTTCACTCTGTTCACACATCACTCTGTCCGCCAACCGATAGGTGGCGACAACGACACATAATGAGGATCGAAACAAAACACTAGGAAGTACTGCAAGATTGTTGAGATTCATATGAAGATTTTCTACACTTCACTTGACACAGTCTGCTTTTCATTCTTGATGAATGAGGGTATGCGGCATGGGTGGACACATAGCAGATGATCATGCGCGAGGAACACCCAGAACGGTTGATTTCCTCAGATAATAGCTTAGCTGCAGCAGCTCGCAGTGTGTAAGTTAACTGTCAAAATAAGACTGTTGAACTATTTAACTCACTGTGTGTAGATTCAACTTATGCAGAACCCATCTTGAAGGATGGATCTTTGACGGGGTTTTAACGTTTATGTTTGTATTCAAACTCCTACTCACAAACTGCAACTCTTCCGGATCTTTGCAGTAACGTTAGTCTTCAGAAAAGGTGAGACTGAAAATATAATGCGATATTTGCAGCTATTTTACCAAGTGGGATCATAGTTTTATGTTAAACGTCTGTCCTCTCGCGTCTGTTTGGTTTTATTATTTGAATCATTTTTAGTAATTAGCATTCATTTAGCCACTTATGCGTAAATACCATGGTAAATACTCTTTACAGCTGACTTTATTTACGCTTAAGTTTCAGAATATTTGACTCTTTTTCTCCTTTTTAAAACCAGTTTAGCCATTTTTCAACTATAAGTAATAAATATGTCATTATTTACACCCCTCATGTCATGTTGTTTACTGTATTTCTTTCGTTGAAACACAAAAGGAGATGTAAAGCAAAATGACAGCCTCAGTCACCATCGACTTCCACTGTATAGAAAAAGATGCAGTGAAACTGAATGGAGACCAAGGTGTCAATTTGTCTTTCCACTGAGCGAATAATGTCTGACTAAATCATGACACACTTTTCATTTGACGGTGAACTATCTCTTTAAATGCCCTAAATTTAGTAAACTGCAGGGTTAATATTTGATTTCTTGGTTAAAGACACTATAGCTGTTGTTTATGGCCATTAACGTTTACAGAGCATCTTGCTTGTCAGACCCAGCTGGGACAACATTGTATTTCAACATCTGTCTGCTCTTTGCCCCTTTCTTTCTCATGTCACCCCAGTCTGTCGTGGTCTCCTTGTGAGAGGCTGTCATCATGGCATCAGCCAAGCTGAAGTACCTCTCTCTGGGGATTCTGGTGTTCCAGACCACGTCCCTGGTGCTCACCATGCGTTACTCGCGCACCTTGCAGGGTGACGGGCCACGTTACCTGGCCTCCTCTGCCGTGGTGGTGGCAGAGTTCCTCAAGATCCTCACCTGTTTGGGGCTTGTCTTCAAAGATCATAGTGAGTTTCATGGGACTTCCTTCATCCTTGAGATTGTATTTGATAACTTTTCCTGAAAGCACCATAGTAATAATGTAGTCAGACTTTAGTTCTTAGAAAGTCATCCACATTTCTGTGACTGTGAATGCAGTGAGAAATTCAATCGCTGTCTGTGTATTTAAAGTTTGTGAGATGCGTGACACAAATAGCTGCATTTGCATAGTCTGTTTCCTTTGAGATTTACTTCCAAAAGTTTTATGGTACTCACCTTTCTACTGGTAAAAAAAAAAAAAAGAAGATCTTTATGGTTTGGAAAGAAGTCTCTTATGCTCATCAAAGCTGCATTTATTTAACCAAAAATATAGTGAAAACCGTAATATTGTGAAATATTATTGAATGCATTTCAGTGTCACTTGATCCTTCAGAAATTATTCTAATATGCTGATTTGGTGCTTAAGAAACATGTCTTCTTATCAGGTTGAGAACAGTTGTGCTGCTTAATATTGTGTTTAAAAGAACAGCATTTATTTGAAATTAAAATCTACATTGGGAGGAATGGCTGTGAGTTTGATTCATTATTGCCGGGTAACTGCTGTCTGTGTGAAACAGGTTACAGCGGCCGAGCGCTGAGCAGTATTTTGAGACAGGAGATTCTACACAAGCCTATAGACACGCTGAAGCTGGCGATTCCTTCAGGTATCTACACGCTACAGAATAACCTGCTTTATGTAGCACTGTCCAACCTTGATGCGGCTACCTACCAGGTAAGTCACTATCTGTCCAGTAGTTGCCTTATTTTTATGGCTGTCATTCTTATGTTTTTTTTTTTCTTGTACACTTCTAGGTGACATACCAGTTGAAAATCCTGACCACAGCCCTGTTTTCGGTTTCTATGCTGGGCCGCAGGCTCGGGGTGTACCAGTGGTTGTCTCTGCTGATTCTTATGGCCGGCATTGCACTTGTACAAGTAAAAATACCTTGATTAGAGTTTACCTGCCAAAAAAACTCTTATAGTCTATAGTCTTTGATGTATTCATGTAATTTATGCTTGTTTGTTTGGACAGTGGCCAGCAGACTCCCCGTCAGACCCACAGAAAGAGCAGCTGACTGCAGGCTCACAGTTTGTAGGGCTGGTGGCCGTGTTGGTGGCCTGTTGCTCTAGTGGGTTTGCTGGTGTCTACTTTGAGAAGATCCTTAAAGAGACCAAGCAGAGTGTTTGGGTCCGAAACATCCAGCTTGGTAAGTATGTTTATAAAGAAAATGGCTCTTATATTATACTAAACATCCCTATATTGAATTTAAAAGAGGGTCAGTTATGCATTAAGAAAAAGTTCATCCAAAAATAAAAATTTACTACCCTCAGGCCGTCCAAGATGTAGATGAGTTTGTTTCTTCATCAAAACAAAAGAGATTTGGACAAATGTAGCATGACATCGCTTGGTCACTAATGGATCCTCTGTAGTGAATGGGTGCCGTCAAAATGAGAATTCAAACAGCTGATTAAAAACATCACAGTAATCCACACAAATCCAATCCATCAATTAATGTCTTGTGACGCGAAAAACTTCTTTAAACTGTTGCTTTCTATCCAGGGGCGTAGCCATCATTTCAGAAGTGAGGGGGACAGAAATGTTATATATAAAAAATATATATTTTTTAATATATATATATAAAACATTACAATATAACATTTCTGTAATCTATATAACCTACCAGTCAACAGTTTTTAAACAGTAAGATTTTTAATGTTTTATAAAGAAGTCTCTTCTGCTCACCACTCCGTGATGTTCATCTCGCCTTATTCTGGGTCCGAATAAAACATCAGATCATGCACAGACTATCCTGTCTCTTTGAATTTAAATCTATATTTATTCACACCGGCTCTTGAAAACTTCTATGCGAACACACTTGCCCGAAAAAGTGCGGGGGACGAATTTACGTGATATTAAAAGTGGGGGGGACACGTCCCCCACGTAATCTACGCCCCTGTTTCCATCTGAAATACGAGTCCTCTATTGATAATATTGTTTCCTCCAGTGAAAAAAAACATCTCATCTGAATCAGGAGAGAAATAGGCAGAGATCAAGTGAAAAGGTCATAAATGGCATTAAACAAACATGTTGATGGATTTTGATGTGAGAGGACAACAGGGGATGGACTTTTTCAATAGAGAAAGCATTATTATGAATTATGGACTTTTTTCACCTTAAGAGACAGTTTTTGAATTTAAAATGCCTTGATGAATTTATTTATTACAAACACACATCTTTTCACTTCACAAGACCTTAATTGATGGATTGGAGTTGTGAGGATTACTTGTGGATTATTGTAATGTTTTTATCAGCTGTTTGGACTCTCATTCTGGCGGCACCCATTCACTGCAGAGGATGACACACATAACCTGTTTTTACACTAGAAGTCTGTTAACCATCTGTATAATCTGTATTTCTGAGAGACACTCTCAAATTTCAAACAACTAGGTTTTATTTCTTTTAGCAAGCAAAATCCTTGCACAAAACAGTCTAAGTTGACATTCAGGAACTTAAAGGCAGAGTGAGGGATTTTTCAAAAATGCTTTAAAAACTGATTCGGGCCGAATCGCAAAACAAACTTGTAGCCAATCAGCAATAAGGGGCGTGTCTACTCGTGATGTGGAGGAGAGCGCGTTCAGTGCATGGGACGGACATTAGCCGAGCCAGCGACAGAAAGATAGAGATGGCGGATAAAAAACAAAAGAGGAAAACGTCTGCGGAACGATAAGGCAAGAAGTAGGACCCGTGTAAATATCGGATCAGCTTTCCAGCGCTGGAGAGAACTCAAGGAGCGGAGGCCTGCGATCGGACGCCGAGGTTGCTATGTTTCTTCTCAATAGGTGAGTAACACCGTGTCTACAACGGCTAAAGTCTGCCTACACTGGACGCGATCAAACGACCGTTGAAAACCATTTGAAATTTGTGTCAGCACGTCATAAATAGAACCCGGCAGCAGTTTTCTGTCGGGATTTGTTGCGCCGCGCCGCTCACGTCCGTAGACACGGTGTAACATTGGTTTTGCTTTGTTTCACAGAACTAATCGTTGCCTTGGTTGCGTACGTATATGTGGGGCGGAGCTATCAAAATAGGGGCAAGACCCTTTTG